CCCCCCCCCCCCCCCCCACACACACAGCAAGAGAGAGAGAGAGAGAGAGACTGACATGTTCACGCGGCAATCGTCTGTGTGTGTGTCTGTGTGTGATGAATGCATTGGTTCAGACGGGGGTGTCCATGCGTTGGCGTTTGTCTACCAGGGCTACCCCAACCGCACCAACCAGTGCATCGGCTGCATGCTCGTCCCGGGGGCCATCACGCTCGGCGACCTATTCAACAAATGCATTCTGCCGAGGTACGATCCATCGGGCGGTAGCTGGGTGTGTGTGGCGGGCGATGGGTGATGTGTGTGTGTGTGCAGGTTGGTGGCGTCGAAGCTCGTGCCGCCCAAGATGCGGTCGCCCGATGAGCCCCAAGAGGTCAAGGACGTCGTCAGGGACTTCGCCCACCTTGAGCGCAAAGAATGCCTGCGCCTCAAGTAGACACACACATACACAACCACAGCTGCAACATGCACCGCCCCTTCCCTGCACATGCGATGCATTCATCGGTGCTGCAGGTTCTCATGGCGCGTCCGCGCCAAGGAGAAGCCCTCCGGCGTGAGCCATCCCCGAAAAACTTTGTCGAAGTGGCTGGACAAAGAGGCTGCCAACAAGCTGGTCACGATCTTCGTCCAGATCCAGGAGGGCAAGGGCCAGTTCATCCCCCCACTGCCCACCATCCAGCCCGTCGAGCAGATGGGCGCCGCGGCCCCCAACCCCTTCGACGACGTCGACGACGGCATCGCATGGGAGTCAGCCATCGACGGCGTCGAGCCCCCTCCCCCCTCCCCGCCGGCCGCCACGCAGCCCGACAGCAAAAGCAACAGACAGAAGGCCTCGACCAACAGCAAGGCTGACAAGGGCAAGGGCGGCGATGGGAGCCCGGGGGCTTCGAAGCGCGAGGGCAGTGCGGGAAGCAGTCGTGACAGCGATGGTGGCGGGGGAGGGAAAGGTGGCAATAGTGGTGGTGGTGGTGGCGTTGGTGAGGGCAAGGCGAGCAGGAAGTCAGCAGCTCCGATGCCGGGCGGGAAGTTTGACGGCCAGGCCAAGAAGAACAAGGAGCGCAAGAAGGAGGTGGAGAAGGCAGAGGTGCTCAAGAAGAAACAAGACGACCACGAAGCCCAGCAGAAGAAGGAGCAGGCCGACAAACTGGCCCAAGAGGAGGCCGATCGCCAGAGGGAGATGGAAGCCCAGCAGCAGCGGCAAAAGGAGCAGCAGCAGCAGCAGCAGGACGCCGACAACAACAACAAGAAGGACAAGGAGAAGGAGGCGCAGCAGAAAAAGGCCGCCAAGGAGCAGCAGCCACAGCCACCACCCGAAGAGGACACCACCAAGAAGAGGAAATCGACGGCCGCCGACAAGAAACCAGATAACAAGGCCGCTTCCAAATCGTGAGCAATATGGCAGTCATCTCTCGATCGATCCATGTGTTGGCTCCTTCTTATTTCAGAAGCGAATCAAATGCTCCTAAGGCACCGCCTGACGCGCCGCCCAAGAAGGGCCGACCATCGGCCGAGGCCAAGAAAGCGGCACTCGAGCCGCCAAAGAAGGCCGTCACCGGCAAAGAGTCCAGCAAGGCCAAGGCGGCACCACAGACGCCTCTTCCCATCACCCCAAGCAACAGCAAGGATGTCCAGACGGCTGTCGGCAAGGCCAAAGGCAAGGCGCCTCCGGCCATACCACCGGCGGCTTCTGCTGCTGCTGCTGCTGCTGCTGTGGCACACAACGGCACTTCGGCAGCCGAGAAGCAGCCGAAAAAGCGATCCGAGAAGCAGCAGCAGCAGCAGCAGATGCCGCCGCAACCACGACAGCCCCACAACTTCGGTCGCTCCATTGGGCATGACGGCCCGGTGTCTCCTCCCGCCCCCAGCAGCAGCAGTGGCCAGCGGCCGCCGACAACGCCCTCCTTCGACAGTGCCCTTGCCTCCCGCACGCCCCCATCGGATGACAAGTCGCCATCACACGGCTCAAGGCAGGCGGCCTTCCCCATCAGGCCCTCACAACCCTTCGTCGGCGACCGACCGCTGTTGCTGGAGCCAGGCGGCAAGAGCGGGGCACACGCAGCACATCTGAATCATGAGGGGGCTGACGACCACCGGCTGGCCGACACGAGGCATGACCGATCGCACGCCAAGAGGCATGACCATGCCCCGTCGCCCGTTGCGGCGGCCCCCCAGCAGCACCAGCCCCCGATCATCCTCCCCACCCCACCATCGAATGCATCAGCGGCTAAGGGCGGCGACAAACATGGTGGTGGTGGTGGTGCTGGGCCGCGGTGTCGGAAGGAGTGGGTGGTCAAGCCCAAGGCCCCCAAGGGGCCCGAGGGCGAGGCGAGCGAGTCAGAAGGGGACATCGACGACAGCCAGCCCAGCCAGCCCAGCAACTCCACACCACGGGTGCCCACATCGCACGGCAATGAGTCATGCACCAACCCGCACCTCGAGGACGGTCCCAACATCGCCCTCAGCCCGCCTCACCGATCGCCCGCCGCATCCTCTCCCATCGTCGGTGGTGCCTTCGCCCTCGGTGGTGGGTCAGGGGAGGTGCCATCGTCCTCCTCCGTGTCGGCCTCCCCAGCCAGCCTTCCCTCCTCCCTCCCCTGCGCCCCCCTGCCGGCCCTGGACCCTCCGTCTGTCTGCGACCAGCCAGACTTGTCGTCGGACGAGCCGGATTTCGCCAGGCAGCTGCAGCGGCATCCGACGGTCAAGCACATCCCGTGTGTGCAGGCTGTCGTCCAGGAGGTGCAGGACCACGTGTGGGCCGACATCGACCGGCTCAACCAGCCCCTTGGCCAGCAGCAGCAACAGCAGCAGCAGCAGCAGCATCCACGGGATCAGCCAGCGGGCGGCATCGGCATCTTTGTGCAGCAGCCACGGCCCCAGCTGTCGTTTGGTGATTTCGTTGGGCAGCATTCCCCACCGCACAACAATGCGGCCGTGCAGATGCCCGCTGGCCTACACCAGGGGTCCCCGCACGAGTCGCCATCGCCCCCTTCATCGGAGAGCGCGCCGTCCCCGGCAGTGGTGCCTGTCCACTCGCCACCAACTTGTATGGCCAATTCGCCGCCGCCGCCATTCCTGATGCACATCATGGCGCACCAGCCCTGCAGCTGGAATGCTGTACCTGTTGGTGCTGCTGCTGCTGCATCGCCCATGACTCCGCTGGGGCTGTCAAGTCCTCCCTTGCTGCCGCAGCCCTGTGTGGGTATGGAGTATCATGTGCCTTCGCCGCACCACGCCCCCAGCAGCCCTGAGCGACAGTATCGCGACACAATGGAGCCCCACTGGAGCCGCCCCAATGGTCAGCAGCTCATCGGCGACCACCAACACCCACACCAACACCCACAGCAGCCGCCACAAGAGCAGCAGCAGCAGCAGCAGCAGGAGCAGCAGGAGCAGCAGGAGGAGGGCAGCCAGGGTCCGAAGCCGCCAGGATTGGTTCATATCAACAAGGCCGAAAGGGAGTCCAAAAGGCCCCACGAGCAGCCAAAGGACGTCGTGCCGGAGGGGTTCATAGGCCTCACCATGTGGACCAAGGACGTCAAGAACTTGGACCCTAGCAACCCAAAGCTGGAGGGGCTGCGGCTCCTCGACGCGCACTACCCCTCACACACCCACAAAGGCGTCGACACCCGAGCCGGCAAGAGGACCTCCCAGCAGCACGGCAGCACCCTAAAGGAGCACCACCACCACCACGGTGCCACACGCTCCCGGACGCCGCACCATAGTCGGAATGGCGGCCCGGAGGACGGTGGTGGGCTCTTCAACACCAACAGCTCCGAGCCTGACCTCCAGGCGCCGCTGCGCAGCCAAGGGAAGGCCCCCTATGACAGCCGCGGCGCGACGTTCTACCCAAGCCCAAATGTCCCGGCCGGTGGCGGCCCCCATGGCCCTTCCCAAGCGGCCATAGTATACGACGGGCAGGCCAGCACTGCCGTCCCTTTCACCCCTGAGCCGGCCAACACGGCTGTTGCCTTCACCCCAGAGCCCTCCACTGGCTCGCCGCAGTGGAACTACTCCGCCAGCCCACAGCCACAGGGGGGCGGCATGGGGGGCCTGCCACACGCGACGGAGGCTGTGGCCGGGGGGCACTGGCAGCAGCAGCAGATAACGGATGTGTCGGCGATTGAGGAGCTGTCCCCCCCGATGAGGCAGCAGCACCCGACGCCCCACCAGCCCTTTCAGCCGCCCCCTCCGCCAGAGCCCCAGCCACACGCGCATCCGCATGCCCACGTCCATCATCGCAGCGGGCTGGCCAAGCAGCACCCTCCCGGTGTCGCCCACCGCCCATCGCAGCCACGCCCAGTGCTTGCGCCGCAGCCGCAGGGGCCACACTTGCCCCTTCCTACTCCGAAGGCTGTGCCTGCAGCTGAGGACAGTGTGGCCAAGGTTGTGCTGGGGTCCCTGTCGGCGCAGCAGCCGACGGTCGTGGGGGGCAACGTGCCGTCGCCGTATGCCGGTGCCCCCCCCATTCATGCCGTGTACGGTGGTGGGATGCATCAGCAGCCGCAGCACCCTGGGTCGCCCAATGCCGGTGCGGCGCAGCAACAGCAAATGGGTGTGCTGGGCGCGGTGCCGGTGGGTGCCATGGGCGTGAATGAGCGAGTCAAGGGAGTAGCAGGGCTGCATGGCCAGGGCTATGTGCAGCAGCCCCGCCAGTGAGTGAGTGAGTGAGTGAGTGAGAAAGGGGGACAGCCAGCCGGGGCAGGCAGGAGATATGGATGGATGGAGAGGGATGTTTGGGTGGTGGATGGTGTGTTTGACACGTACCGAGCGTGTGGGTACCAGAAAAAGTAGTAGAGGAAGACCGAGCCAGCGAAAGGAAAGGACGGTTTCACCCGCCGATTTTTCAGTGTCATTTGTCTGTCTGTCTGTCTCTTTGTGTATGGCTGGCTGCACGTGTGCACTGGATGAGTGGATGGATGGATGGATGTATGAGTGGACGGACGACGGACAGTCACAGTAGGGGAGGGGGAGGGAGGGGGAGATGGTCAAAGATAAAGGGAAGTGGGTCTTTCCAGTTCCGAGCCTGGTTCGCCAAAGATCTTTACTGACAGCTATACGCTTCACATGTGCGAGCGCCCCCTCACACACACACGTCAGTCAGTGCCTCGATGTGCGAGCGCCCCCTCGCAGCTCATGCAGCCCCGAACGAAACCAAGGCACCACTAGAAAAGTGCGGACGACACACACGCACACACACACACACACACTCACGTCCGTCATGGCTGCCGAACACGGCACCCACTGTCGGTCTGTCGGCCAGCACCACTGTACCATAGAAATTCCATAGCCCTCTCTCAGCAGAAAAACTCTAAAGGCGTCAGAATCAACGCATCCCTCACCTCCATCCATCCATCCAAAGCACCTGCCTCCCACCTTCATTCTACCCAGCGGTGAATCGCGCTGACGGAGCCTGTCCCACTGGCTGCTCGGTGGGTGGCCTGTTCTGCCCCGATAACAGCTGCTGCAGCGGCTCCACGGGGAAGGCCTTCATCAGCTCAGCGTCGTCCTTGGCGTTGGATCGGTAGACCGAGAGCTCCTCATCGCTCAGCAGGGCGTCGTCTAAAGCCGACTCCAGCTGCAGCAACCCACAGGGGGGGGGGAGGTGTGTGTGTGAGTGTGTGTGTGTGAGGTGGGTGCTGATCGGCCTGGGCACCTGTTGCCTATTGTCTGATTGGGCGACCTCCCGGCCGATGAATACGATCTCCTGCCGCCTGTCGCCGAACTCCCCGTCAAAGTCCTCCAGGATCTTGCCCTGTGTGCGTGGGCACCACACATACCGTCACACACGTGTCTGTCGGCCCGTCCACGCCTTATTACCTTCCACTGCTCTGGCCAGTCCTTGGCCGACACAGAGGCCCACCACCGACCGAAAGTTTCGAAGTCCAGGTGACGGCCGGCGAGTGACCACTCCCAACATCTGCAGGCATCCAAACAGACAGACACACACACACACATTCATATTGACCGTCTGCATGTCTGCGGCTCTTGGGCTGCTCACGTGACGTCGGACGATGCCAGCCAGAGGAAGCCCTTGGACCGGAACAGACGCGACAGCACCGACGCCACACCATCGTCGGATGTTTCCAGCTCTCCGTCTGGCCGAAAGCTGGCTGCAAGTGGGTTGTCTGCTGCGGGCATGGCGGCCAGCACCTTGGCCAGGCGGTCCGGGTGGAATGGCCTCCTGCGGCTGTAGACGAAGCTGTTGATGCCGAAGCGCTTCTCGGCTGTGGTCATCGTGTCATGGCTGTGGTCGTGTGTTGGGTCGGTGCAGTCGGGGTCGGTGCAGTCGGAGTGGGAATGGTCATGGCCGTGAGAATGGTCATGGTCGTGATGATGGTGGGAATGGTCATGAGCGTGGGAATGGTCGTCATGGTCGTCATGGTGGTGGTGGTGATGGTGCTCGTCTTGCTCTTTGGCCCTGTGGATGGTCTCCTTGAGTTGTGTGATGTCCGTCAGCTGCGCCAGCCCTTTGCCCTCCATGCAGCCCAACACGGACCGCAGAGGCAGCCGACCATACGCCGTCTCCACAATCTGCACACACATACACAAGAGATCCAACCCACATACGCACACACACATGGCGTCACGGTGCGAAGTGTGTGTGGCCTTACCCGAGCCTGCTCGTTGAGCGCCCGGATGACAGCTTTCAGCACGGGCAGCTGCTGTGCCTCGATGGTGTCGATTTTGTTGAGGACACAGATGTCGGCGGCCTCGATCTGCTCCACCAGCAGATCCACGACCGGCCGCTGGATCCCCCTGTGCCTCATCGACAAGGCCTCCAAAAACCGCATCGGATCCTGACATAGGGAGAGAAAATGAAAATGAAAATGGCATCCTGCTGGAGGGATTGCGGATGGCGTCCTTACTTGGAATGCCCATGCGGGTGCCCTCTGTATCTCCTCAGACGTGCCATACGCATCGAGGAACGCACTCGAGTCGACCACCGTCACCATCGTGTCAAGGGCGGTCTGAATGAATCCATCCATCCATCCATCCAATCCCGAAGCGTGACACACGTGTGTGTTGTGTTGCTCGTAGCATACATAGATCTCTGACCTCTTCGAAGATGTTTGACCCCGCCTCTTCCATCAGCTGGAACTGCTCGCGCACAGCCTGACAGACACGAAAATCGAAAGACGGTTGTATGCAGCACAAATCAGCTCACGGTGCCTGCTGTGTCGTGTCAGTCGTGCTGCGCTGCACTGCGTACCCTCGGCTCGGCGATGCCCGACATCTCGATGACAATGTGGTCCCATTGGGTGCCTCGACGAGTACCGAGCCGCAGAATCTGTCGACCCCCACACGCAAAACACATCATGACATGCTTCTGTGCGTGTGCTCAAACTGACCGCGATGACGGCGTCTCGGAACTCATCGGTTGCCGTGCAGCAGGCACACCCGTTCTGCAGCTCCATAATGTCCCCGGCATACTGCTGTAAGGGGTCCCCTGAGCTGCCCTCCTCCAAGCTGCCGTCGTCAGTCTGTTCCCGCAGCAGCTTGGCGTCAATGTTGACCGACGCCATGTCGTTGACAATCACCCCAATCCGCAGACCCTCCTTATTCTCCAGAATGTTCTGAACGGAAACACACACAGCCGCAAAGATCACAGATGGCGTTGTGATGATCTTCTCATCAATGCTTTGTACCTTGAGCAGCGTCGTCTTGCCCGCACCCAGGAAGCCGCTCAGAATCGTGATTGGCACACGGCTGGCCTTTGTTGCTTCGTCGACTGGCAGATCTGCCGGGCTTGCCAGGAGGCCATCCAGGACGGCAGGCTGATCCACAGCACTGGCACCAAGACGCGAGCGACGCAGCAGTCTTGGTGCGGAGCGATGGCGCGTTGGGCCGAATGAACCAGCGATGAAGGCGTTGCTGACAGATCCCCTCCGCCATGGTGCTGGATCTGGGCTGATTGCATGAAGCTGCGACAAACACGATGCGAGAATGCCGACGAAGAGGCTCATTGCGCTTGGGGGGGAGCCCCCTGGGGAGCTCTTGGGGAGGGAGTCCTTCGCTGCGAGCTGTGCGCGCGCATTTCTGATCGCGATCTGAGCCTGCCGGTCACGATGACGAAATTCGGCCTTTTCCTCCTGTTTGTGCACGCACTGAGCAATGGTGAGGCCAGCAGGACGTTCAGTGGCTTCCTTCGTTCCCCCAGCAGAGCTTTCCGCAGTGCAACTTCCGATGCTATTGACGCAGGGAGTCTTCGCGCTTTACAAGGCTCTAGCGGCGCCAGCAGCATGGCGTGTGGTGCAGGGCGGTACAGAAACCTGGATGGCAAGTGCCACGACTGCCCCTCTGGTAAGAAAGAGAGAATTCAGTGCATTGAAGTCATTTCAAGTGGGACGTGTGCGCACAGGTTCCCGGTGTTCCGCTGATGGTCGCATTCGTATCGACAAGGGCTATCTATCACGCCCTCGCCCTGCAGAGAACAGACGGCCTTCTCGTGGTGTACAAGTGCAAGGAGATGGGTCTGTGTCCAGGGGGCTTGGTCAACACCACGCACCAATCGCCATGTCGCGAGCACACCTACGGCCGCACATGCTCGGCGTGCGAGAACGGTATGCGAGAAGGAAATCAACACTTGGCCGAATCGCCATTTGCACACAAGGAATGTGAGTCAGGCTATTGGCTTGACGAGGACCGATGCCGTGCGTGTCCGATGATGACGCCCGTCTTCCTTTCCTCGTCAGCGGGACTCTTGCTCGTGCTCTGGTTCTGCTACTTCGCATTTGACATGGACACAACCGAGATCAGCGGGGTGCCGGCCTACGAGTTCGCAGCGTCCCTCAACTCCCTGATATTCTTCCTCGAAAGCGTCACGCTCTATGGCAAGATCGATCTGACCTGGCCCAAGCTTGCCAAGGAAGTGATTGAAGCCCTCGAAGTCATCCCTCTGGACTTTGTCATCCCGGAGTTCGGCTGCCTGTGGGGAGAGAACTACACTCTTCGGTTCACGACGGTGCTTATGTGCCCGCTGGCCATCCCTGGCGGGTTTGTGGTGCTGTGGCTGATGTCCTGGGTGGTTGCTCGTGTCAAGAAGACGCTGTTCAACCATCGTTCAAAGCCCCTCCGATGGAACAAGATTTTTAATTCGTGTGGCGTGCTCTTCGAGGTCAGAGCAAAGAGAGACAGGTGTGTGTGGGTGTCTTTGTACAAGTGTTTCGTGTGTGTGGCAGGTGCTATACATCTCGTTGAGCCACCTGATGCTGATGCCCTTCCATTGTTCGTTCCACCACAGTGACGGCAGCCGCAGCAACTATCAGTACCCAGAGATCATCTGCTACTCGAGCAAGGAGTGGATGCGACTCATGACGCCGGCTGCTGTGGGGCTCTTCTTCTACGGAGTAACAAGACGCCTTTTCATGGATATTCATGTCTCACTGGTGGCCACTTCTCTCTATATGTGTGTGTGTGCATACAGCTGTGTCTGAACGTTTCGTGGATATATATCCTCCGCATCGCGCCCCGGGAGTCCTCCAACAGCCGGGACTTCCAGGAGAGATTCCGCTTTCTCTTCCTGCCCTATAACTCTGATGTCTACTGGTGGTCGCTGGTGCTCATCTACCGCCACCTGCTGACGTCGGTGATGGTTACTTTTGTGGAAGATCCTTTCCTCAAAGTGCTGCTCGTCCAGGGAATCCTGCTGACGAGCGCACTGCTGCAAGCCCACTTTTGGCCTTGGCGTGCGTGGTATGTGAATTGGAACGATGAGATCCTGATCATTCTTCAGATCACAATGCTCGGTAAGGGCACAATACAGATACCCATACAGGAGAAGTGAGCGCACGTGTGTCTCTCTTTCAGCACTTCTCAAGTCTGACGCCAACAAGCGGCGCTGGGCTTTCGTGCTGCTCGATATCGTCATCCTCACGGCCATCGTTGTCGCCGGTATGTCTATCACTCTCTCCTCCCTTCTCACCTATAGCGCCCTCTTCTCCGCTCTGCCTTGCATGCAGCCTCCTTTTTCATATTTTTCTTCTGCCGCCTGGCGACCATCTGGCTGACGACATTGTCCGAGTATATGCAGCGGCGGAACAAGCTGATGCAGGCTGACAACGCAGCTGGGCATCTCTCTGCCGACCCCAGGCGCTTCTCGAAGGCGCCACGGAGCTTCCTGGAGGAGGTGGCTGTGAGGTTCCCCTTCCTGCCGCGGTCGACCAAGGAGGAGCACTACGCCAAACAAGTGTGGCGTGCGATGTCGGGCTGTCTGCGGCATGTAGGCGCATGAGCATGAAGGTGGCACATGTATGTATCTTTCTGCTGTGTCGCTGGTGGATTGCAGGAGGAGCGTTTCATCCGATTGTGGAGCCGTGTCTCAGAGAAGGATCGACGGCTGCTCCTCAAGACAGCGGACCTGCTACAAGTCGAGCTATTCTCGGTCAGACTGCCAATCAGAGACACCACACAAAAATGGACACAGCAACCAAAAGCCATAGACCTAGAGCCATCTCATCTCCGCTGTCCCTTCTTTGTCAGGGACTCGACCCTGTCCTTCTCTCGCACATCATTGAGCACCGCAGCCAGCAGGCCATAAACCATCAGGACAACGATGCTTCAAAGTCCCTGCCTGGAGTCGGCCGCCTCCTCGTCCTCGGAGTTCCAGGCCAGGGCCCGCAGGATGGGGCTGCTGATGGGCAGGGGTACCTCAGTCGGCCGGGGCGGGTGTCAGTCTTTCGGAAGCCCACCCTCACCGAGACCACTTTCTCACAGGTCAACAGATGGATCGAGACACACAACTTGGCAGTCGACAGCACCATGTGTCCTCTCGTTGTCGCTGCAGATCCTGTCTCGCAGTGTGTTGGCGCCGATTCGTCGCCTTTCCGACCGCTTCCTCATCCGCTCGCGGGCGTCATCCGTCTCCCCGCATGCGGATAGAGACTCCGCTGGTGTCTCCATCCCTCCGGCGTCCCTACCTGATAACGAGCTACCTGAGTGGGACACCCAGAGTCTCCCTGCCTCGCAAGCAAGCGCATCCAACCAAGGCCAAGCCGCTGTGCCAACGGCCTTGTCAGCCGCTCGTGTGCGGCCCAGAGTGAGGTACTCGATCACTGCGCCGGGGGCCTTCCTTGCACATCCCTTTCAACGAGCTCGACAGTCCCCCATCCACTCTCGACGCTCGTTTCTTTCGACTGCTGCTATGATGACCAACAGCCGGCACAACAAAGGGCCGCTGCAGCAGGACAGAAGTGACGTGAGCCTGCCGCTGAGACACAGAGGTCCACTGATGCGGACGGCGCTGTCAGCATTAGAGGAGGGGCAGGCACATACGTTTCCGTTTCCGTCGGATGCCCTTGACGCGGCTCTGCGCGAGAGGATCGTCGACATGATGCGAAAGAAGAACAGCAGGCATGAGAACAGAGGCGAACCTCCACCCGCCACGTCCTCGCCTGGCATGCGGCATCTGATGCAGCCCTCCTTAATGAGCCCACATCACTGTTCCTCGCCAGTCATGCCAGTCACCGTCCCACCCCAGAGCCCCCTCTCCGAGCACTCCGCCAGAGACACAGCATCGCCAGCCCCCTCGCCCCTTCTTGCCAGCAAGCCGGCGAAAGACAGGGCGTTCGAGCCGTCGCTCTCGGGCGCACAGAACAAAGAAGACGACGTGTTGGACAAATGGGTTCGTGTGTCGTATCAGACGGAGGAAAGGCGAGACGAGGAAGATGAGGGATCGGTGACGAGGAGGCTTTTCATCACCACCCGACGCTGCTGATATTCCCAACATTCAGACGCCGGACATTGTTTGCTCCGACGGATGGGCCTGAGGCAGAAAATGGAACACCGACATCACCATTACCTGGACAAGACAGAGTCACGTACATACATACATACATACGTTTGTCCAGCAGACACGCATTTCTACGTCTGTCTGCCCTATCTGCCTGTTGCGTGCAGATCTTCGGCCACTGCAGCATCATCTTGCTCTGCCTCCTGTTCTGCCGAATTTATGTCTTCGTTGTCTGCGTTCCACAGGGAGGGCTCATCGGTGCCTGTGGTGTCGTCTCTTGAGTTGCAGCACGTAACGGATTTCCTTGAGTCAGACAGTTATAGCAGCAGTGTCGAAGTGAGTGTGCCACCGATACCAGACCTCCCTCCCTTTTCTTGGAAAGCTGCATGAACATGCAGACAGCGGCAGGCCAACCAATAGGGTTGCAGCGAGGCCGAAACCTATCATCGAGGCTCCGCAGACGTCTGAAACACACGCGGACGCTTGAAGATCTGTCTCCGAGCGGGACAAACTCCGAGTCTTATCGAGTGGGGGCCGTGGCGGGCGTCTCCCCGTCTCCGCCAGGTAATATCAGTAGCGTTGCAGAAAGAATGCTGGGCGTCTGGAGGCCGCAAGGCAGCAGCTTGAGCAACGGAAACAGTCGCCCATCCGCTGATGACCCCGGCTACGTCCAGCTGTCGACAGTGGAGGATGGAGAGAAGGAGGCCATCGCTCACGGACAGCCAGAGAGAGAGAAGGTCGGCTTGTATTGCTCTTGCATCTCTACATCCTCCTCTCACGTCCTTTCCATTGCAGATGGCTGAGATGTCCCGTCGGGCGGCGTCGGCCTCGAGTGACAACATTCCCCTTCTGCTGGACAAGGAAAAGGGGCACGTGGAGTTGCAGCTGGCTGATGTCGAGGATGAGGTCCCCCCTGCCCCGAGACGGCTCGAAGAGGTCCATCCAGTTCTCGAGCACTTCATGAGTGCCGTCACTTGTGCCACTTGATCCGCAGGTCCCCCTGGTGGGTGCCCCTGCCGTTGAGGAAGACGAGGCGACCAATTCACTCAGCGGCAGGATCGGAAAGGCAGTCTTTGGCCACGCAGACGCAGCAGAGCTGGAGCAGCTGCGGAAGGATCTTGCCAGTCTGCCGCCTGATGAAGCGGAGAGAATCCTGACGACCGGTTGGGGATCCGGATCTACCATCCACCTGGCTGCAGGTATGCATCGTCGTCTCACGCCATTTTCATGTGGAGACGCGAAGCTCCTATCTGCTTCTCAGGTCACAGTGGGGTCAAATACAGGCCGGCGACGGTAGAGGTCTTCGAGGTGCTGCTGCACAACCGGCGTCACCTGCTCAACCTGAAAGATATGGTATCATGGTCCAGGGTCATCCTCGTTGCTGTGGCTGACTCCCTGCTGCCTTCTTGCGGTGTCTAGGATGGCAGGACGCCACTCCATCACGTCGCGAACACCGCTTTCATGGTCCAGGGTCATCCTCGCCGTTATGGCTGATCCACTTATCGCTTCTGTCTCTATACTGTGTCTCTAGGATGGCGAGAGACCACTCCATTACGTTGCGAAGGAAGGTGGTGGAGCTCATCTTGTCAAGAAGTTCATCGAGTGGGGCGGAAAGGACCTTCTGAAAGCTCAGGACAAGGTGAAGATGAACACGTTTGACGGCTGCACATCATGGGTGACGGTTGGCATTGTTGTCTGTCTGACAGGATGGTCGCATCCCTCTGCACTCTGCAGCAGGTAGGCAGCAGGTAGGGTGTATTGACTGTGCGGCTTCTGTAAGGATTCGTGTTGCCGTGTGGCAGCATCCGGCCGTACAAGTATGTTGGAGACGATGCTGGAGATCCCCCCCTGACTTGTTGGATGTCACTGATAAGGTATCTATCTCATACCAGGGCCCAACGTCCTTACTGCCGGAGTGACTATTTGTGTTTGATCCCTAGGAGGGACACACTCTCCTTCACATCGCAGCAGGTCAGTCAGCCGCCGACAAAAATAATGGCAGGAGAAAAAGAGATTTCTGACTGTCCTTTCATTCCTCAGAGGCAAACAGCCCAGGAGTGGTTCAAGTGCTGATAGCGAAATACCCCGACCTACTGGAGAAGTGGAATGCGGTAAGCTTCAGTACATGATCCAAGCTGCTCTGCGTTATATGCGTCTCTTCGCTGCGCAGAAGGACGAGACGCCTTTCGATGTCGCCATCCGCCTGAAGTGTGGCAAAGCTGTCGGTGCGATGCTGGCGGCGCCTGAAGCAAAAGGGATCGCCATGGAGTGGCTCGTGAAACGAAAAGCTGAATAGCGTCTTGCAGCCGGCCGTCCTTCCCGAAGTCATTCCCTTCTTGAAACAAGGATTCGCTCAGTACCTACGACACCGATCCAAGTCGTCGGGCTTCGACAGTCTCCGCTGGTGCTCATTCTTCCGCGAGTTGATGCAGTCGCGACAGAAGGACTCTCTCACAGAGTAAGGTCAAAGTCGAGCATCTCCGCAGATTGTGTGGTTTCGATGAGTGTGCAGTGATATTGCGGAGGTGGCATCGTGGCTCGAGGTACATGTAATATATTTTGAGATCCCATTCGCTCATTCCGCACATTTGTACTGTTTAATAAATCAGGCTATCTGCAAACGCTTCTGCACCAATACACGCGAAAAAGCCTTCCGGCGCTCAATCAAAGGCCGCGAGGAGGAGTTTCTTGAGCACTTGGAGTCTGCTGAGCCCCTGACAGTGGTCACGCAAGGTACCACCGCGACATTTTCTACATTCGACTTACATTCCTGCCTTTCATTCGATTGCGACAGCCAATTGCATCAACCTCATCACACACCACTGGCAGAAGATTTATAGCTATGGACGGCCACTCGACTTGTTTTATGAATACACCGCTGAGGAGATCAGGCGAAAGATGAAAAGCCATGGAACGGGGCTTTCCCCTCGGAGTGCATTCTTCAGCCGCGTACTGTCAATGATTCTGATGTAAGAGAGCATAGAGAAGCCACCACAGCCAGGAAGAGACATGGTATTCTTTTCTCGGTCGGGCAGGGTCTTCTCTGTGCTGCTCTACACGAGAAACATCAAAGGAGACGGCAACACGAGAGCGGCTGCAGAGGGGCAGTCCGTGTGGCTGTGGAGTGCCCTGGCGTTTGGCTTTGGCTTCATTGTAGTCGAGTGGTTCCAAGTAAGGAAGAAGGGAGACAACAAACTTAACTAGAGAATCCGTATCGTCTTGATGTTTTCTGCCATGTGCACAGCTCTTCCGCTTGAAGGCACACTATTGGAAGGACTCCTGGTAAATAAACCTTCCCGATCTCAACCTGGAAGGTTCATCACACTCTTGATCTCAACCTGCTTTCATGCAGGAACTACCTCGACTGTGTCTCGGGCGTGTCGATCGCCGCCTTCATTGCCATCCACTTCCTCGGCTGGTCGCCGGAAGCAGAGGTCGCCTCAGGTATAGTGGTCCCGCTCTTGTTCGCCCTGCGGCTCCTGCAAGCCGCCAGTCTTCTCCCCAACGTCGGACCGCTCATTCTGTGAGGGAACCATGAGAGTCACAGAGACACACACACAGAGGTGTCTCATGCTGTGTGTAATGGGTGTATGTGTCAGCGCTGTGGTGAGGACGCTGTCGGACGTCAGGAAATTTCTGCTGCTGTACCTCTACATCCTGCTGGTCTTCGCGGGCGTCTTCACCATCCTCTCGTCCGACGAAGACCACCAGTACTTCGGCTCCTACGGCCGGGCCATGCTCACACTGTGCGTATGTGAGCTCGTCAGCATGCGTGACAGTGGTCGTGTCATATCCTTGGCTTTTGCAGTTTCTACGCCGGGCTTGGAGACTTCAACGACGCGTTGACCAACGCCATAGAGGGCCACGACACGCTGGGGGCCGTCCTGCTGTTCACCTACATCATCCTCTCCTCCATCATACTCGTAAGCCTTGGCGTCACTAATTCGTCAACGGACGAGCACATACGAGAAGTCCCTTTCCTTTCTCTCTCTGCCCGCATTCATCAATAGCTCAATTTGCTCATCGCCATTATGGTGAGACACAAACCACAAATCGATTGTGCTACATGACCGATCCGACGTCTGTATTGTCTGTCAGGCGTCCACGTACTCGGCGATCGAGGACACACAGGACGCGCAGTACCAGTAAGCAAACAAGGCCAACAGGAAGTGACAAGGGCAGAGGCTTATGGAATTGTGCAGGCTGCTCCGCATTCGCGTGTTGAATGAATATCTCACAATGCCGCCGCACGAGCGCCTGCCGCCGCCATTCAACCTCATCGGTGAGCAAGCCCGGACACGCATGCAGACATGTCATCCATTGGTTTTGCAGCTTTCCTTCTGTCGGAACCCTTGCGGCATCTCGCCTCTCTCATCGACAGAGATCGGCGTCGGCAGTCGACAATGTGCCGCAACACCTGCGAGTGCATGGTGTCTCTGTATGCCATCATCGATGGGCTTCTCTTCACCGTCGCATTCACACCCGCATTTATCCTCTCGGCTCTGGAGCGGCTGCCACGTGTGCTGCGCGACAAGGACTGTTTCCATATCGACCCTTATGAATACTCGGCCTATGGACGACAATTTGAACACTGGGCCTATAGACTGGATGCTCCCTGGCCGTGCCTCTTCCAGCGCGCAGAATGGCTGTGGCAGCGACTGTGGAACGCCATTGTACTCACCCTTCTCACGCCACTCAGCATACTCCGCTTCTTCATGCTCTTCGTACAGATCGAGTGTCTATTAGTAAGTCACCAAAGAAGGAAAGACAACGAAGTTTGTCAAATTCATTCTGCTTTGAATCTGCTGTCAAATCAAGGCTCGGGCCGACTCCTATTCTCCCGATCCTCCAAAGGTGGATTTTTCGGGTGAGAGCATCGACGAGCGGATCAGGGCGGCAGATTACCACAACGCGACTTCTCCTGACGTCATGGCGGGTGAGAGGACACTGATTCACACAACGCAAGTGAGCCATTATGTGTCTCTTGTTCTTCCTGTTAGTCTTGCAAGGAGTGAACAAGCTACTGGTAGAAATAGACGCGCGGCAGAAGCAGATGGACCAGCGACAGGCGAGGATGGACAAGCGGCAGACCGACATGGAGACACAGCTGAAGCGGAAGATACAGTGAGATGGATGGATGGATGGATGGACAGACAGAAGTAGATGACTGAGAGACACCGAATTGCAATGATCTTGCGCTAACTGAATCATTAAAAGAGTCGACATACGATTGAGTTAGCGCTCTTGGCAATCAAGCGCTTGGCTCGCTGCGATAGTTCATTCATGTAATAACAAGTCATTAACGTCCCCCGCACCTCATCTTCGTATCTCTGTGCCGGTCTCATGCCCCTGTCTGTCTGTCTGTCATGCAGCCGACGGTCCGTCGCTGGCTTTTTGGATCGCATCAGGGGAGGGAAAGAACTCGAATACCTTGGGCGACAGGGGTGTGCCGCCCTCCTCCAGCATCTCAACGCTGCTGCCTAGCGTCGACGCCTGACATACACGCAGAATATGACAGGCGATGGAGGAGCAGGCCATGCAGACATGACGTTCGAAGACATACTCACCCGCACGTCTGGCTTGTCGGGCAGTGTTGGCGACTCTGCTTTGAGCCGCCTCCAGGACTCCTCAAGGTCCTCCAGCCGGATGAAGAGCGGGATGCGCAGTCGGGATGTGGGGCTGTCACCGTCACCCTACAGAGACCACACACAAGGTGCTTTTGGGTGGTCGCTGTGTGCTTGTCTTTTGAGTACCTCGAAGGCCAGGCTCTGTGTGCCCCATATTGGCACCTCGCCCGCCTTGCCGGGGCCCTCAGACCAATTGGGTATCCTGCATATCGATAACGAATGAGAGCAAGGCCTCCTGTGATCGACGGTTCTCACCTCTTCTGGGCATTTGCGAGTTCCTTGTTGGACGGCACCACGGCGAAAGCAGCACTCGTGTCGACGTAGTAAGGGAAGCTCTTGAGCTTGCCCTCCTTCTTGACCAGAGGGAAGTACACACTGCATATACACGCGTAGGCAGATAGCAACAAGTGAGCGGTTGTGTAGGTGTGCCCGAGTGTGTGTCTGTGCTCACTCTCCTAGCCTCGCCGCCCCGATGAAGGCGTCCTTCCACTGGATGTAGTCAGACATTCTGCAGCGAGGATGGCACACACGACAGAGGCAGTGCGCCCCTCCATCACGCACGTCACGTCTGTCGGCTCCTACTTGAGGTCTTCCAGTGCTTGTGTCGCTTCCGAAGGCTCCAGGAAGAAGCGGCCCATCCGCCTGTCGCCACTCTGAACACATCGATGACAAATCCACGCTGTGGGCGGCTGTAGAAATTGTGCAGGGATGTCAATCCACCTGGTCGATATTGACCCTCCCGTCACTGCAGACACACAGTGTGAGAGAATGAGTGAGCCATCATCGGTGGGCTGCTGTGTGTGAGACCTTGTGACGACATAGAAGACCGGCACTTGGTCGAGCTTCCGAGTTATTTCGGCACGGCTCAACGCCTGACCCATCTGCGCCCGAGGGTTCACATTCTGACAAGCAACACACACACACATATATATCTGCAACGGGCAAGCTATGGGAAACGCCTGTCGTCGAACCGACCTGCATCTGCGCAGGCTCTCCCTTGAGGTTTGCTGCGATCTGCTGGCTGATTGAGCCCATGTCGGCGAAGAACCCGCGCAGATACACCAAAGTTAACAGACCTGCAGACAGACAGACACTCACAGACAGGCACTCACCATCCGTCAATGCACACACATGCATGTGTTTCCCTTTTGCTCGCTGACCAGAGATAGCGATGCCCGTGATGAGTTTCTTCGTCCCGCCGTCCTCCTCGTCGAGCTTCATTGACAGACCAGAGAGGCGCAAAGATCTCGCCCTCGACAAATGATTGCTCCCACAGCATTGCCGCCTCGTCTTGTCAAACCATATCTGCCTCGGTGAAGGTTGGATGAATGACGGGCGGGCGGCGTCAGCCAGGGACAGCGCCGCAAGGACGACTGCCGCAATGAGTGTACTCATTGCCTTCGTCAAGGCAGATCTCGGCCTGGATATAGATGCGGATATGAACGTGCTTCCTGCAGCGGAATGAGCGGTCATTTCACTGCACGAAAACCACACGAGCTCGCCATACAAGCTCGCAACACCTTTCCGGCGGTTTCGAACGATCCGCCGATACAGGGCTCTCTTCATCCGTGGCAGGAAGCACATCCACACCCAGGCAGAGATCTCTCCTCACGAAGCCGTCTGTCGGCTGCTGACTCATCGCAGGCGTCACTCATGTCACTGCAGACCAAGGAGTGGTCCAAGTTGGCGGCCGGTGCTGCTTTTCTCGGTGGAATCGGCTTTCTCGCGCATCGGCTGTGGCGAAAGATTGACCTTGGGAGGGCGGTGTTCTCGTCTGGATGGTTCTCAGAGTTCGGTTCGCTGTGGCCGGGGCAGGCCATGTCGCTGGAGATAGAGGAGGTGCTCTTCAGAGGCAGGTCAAAGTTCCAGGACGTGCTCGTGTTCAAAAGCAAAACATACGGCACTGTGCTGGTGCTCGATGGCGTCATTCAGGTGAGTATGCAAAGCAGGTAGTGTACCATTGCAATCACTTTTGATTGTGTGTGTGTGTGCGTCAGTGCACGGAGCGTGACGAGTTTGCTTATCAGGAGATGATGGCACACGTGGCGCTGATGTCGCATCCCACGCCACGGAGGGTGCTGGTGATTGGGGGAGGGGACGGCGGCGTCCTCAGAGGTGGGCAGAGTTGCCTATACATCATCTGTGAGGCCAACACACGGAGAGAGAACAATCGGCCATGGCTGTCTGTGTTTATGTGTTTACTAATCAGAGGTTGTCCGTCATGCTGATGTGGAGGAGATCCACATCTGTGAGATCGACGAAATGGTCATCACGGTAGGTCTAGGTTAAAAGCAGCAGGTTCCTGCCCCAAGCACACGGGCAGCAGATGCCCCACACTCAGAACTGCCTCAGCCACTGCTGTGCTGTGCTGTGCTGTGTGCAGGTGTCCAAGAAGTATCTGCGTCAGCTGAGTGTCGGCTTCGACGACCCGCGAGTGCAGGTCCACATACAAGATGGGGCCAAATTCCTTCTCGAAAAGAAGGGTCGGGCAGAGTGGGTGGCCCTGATTACATGACTCCATTCCAGTTGTGTACTCAGGTCAGTTTGATGTGGTGATAGTCGACTCGAGCGACCCGGTGGGCCCGGCTGAGAGTCTCTACCGGGAGGACTTCTATCAGCTCCTCTCCGACTGCATCACGCCTCAGGGCATCGCAGCCACACAGGCAAGCACGACCACACGGAGATGAGATGCCCACCATGCGAAGCCGCTCCGTGCGTGGCTCGATGTGTGTGTATGTATGTCAGGGTGAGTGCATGTGGCTGCACAAGGAGGTCATCACGTCCGTCAAGGCGGCGGCGTCCAAGCACTTCCGCCATGTCGAGTACGGCATGATATCCATCCCCACTTACCCCAGCGGCATGATCGGCGTCATGTGCTGCTCAAAAGGCAACTCGTGCGCAGCGGGGCCGGCCCGGCAAGTGGACAACGCCATTCTATCGCAGCTGCAGTACTACACCCCCGAGATCCACAAGGCTGCGTTCGTTCTCCCCGGCTTCGCGAGGAAGATGCTGCAATGAATGAATGAACGAATGATCGATGTGCATCCATGAAGTGCGTTTTGTTGAGTGCGTGCGTTGACTCCACCGTGAACGCATCATGTATGCGATGAATTGGCGTTGAAGTAACGGAAAGCATTGGCCTCCGTCATTTTTGCTTTTTCTTGTGCGCTATTTCACCTGGTTCACATGAAGCACTGGTAGACGTGCGGGGGAAAAGAGAGTGCTTACTATTCCTAAAGCTCGCAAAAGGACTGGAGAAGGGGGGAAGGAGCACCCAGGCGAGAGTCAGGTGGGTGAGGAGGTGCACATGACGAGGACGCAGATCTGCCAAGAAATCCGCTTCTACGTGTGTCCCTCTGGTCAGGATGTCTGGCATGCCGGTCAAGATCAAGGTCAAGATGCGGCGCGCTGCCAAGGTGGTCAGACAGGCCTCTCCCAGGGCGACGGCGAGCAATAATGTGGTGCCTCAATCGACGCCTCAGACACCGCGGAGTCCGTGTGTCATGGCCGAGGAGCGGCTCATCGAAGTGCCCGAACACAAGGTAGGTGGCCACACCAGAACGCATGACAATGTGTGTGGATGGAGTTATGTGTGGTGTCTTACAGGCCCGTGAGAATCAGGTGGACCTAGGAATGCTGCACTAAACGAATAAATGGCAGATGTGTGTGTACCCGGTGACTGATGCAGCGAGCGATGCAGGCCGAGCTGTCAGCCCAGAAGTTCAGTGTGATCTCCATTCTCAACCAGCTCCATGTTCCCACGACCAAGGCCAGCGACGCCATCGAATCCCTTCACAAACAAATTCAACAAGCTGATGATGACGCCCAGCAAGAGCGGCAGAAACACGACGCATCAGATGCGTCAAAGGCCTCGCCTGACGACGTGCTGCTGCTCAATGTGGGCGGCGCCGAGCTGAGAGTGAAGCGTCAGCGCCTCACGCAAGGAGGGGGCGTCGAGGGGACCCTGCTGGCCACTCTGTTCGGTGGGAGCTCGGACGACCGTTTCATCAAGCTCACCGACAGGGACAACCAGGAGTGGATTGTCATCGACATGGATTCGGCCGCGTTCAAGGTCATCCACAAGGCCATCTTGGCTGCGGAGACCATCCGCAGTGCGACCCACCCGACGGCCAACACGCAGGCCTCCATCAGCCACCTACTCGAAGACGCGAGAAGACGCAACTTCACTGGTGAGTGGGCAAAGTGGGAGGGGGAGGTTTCCTTGTTCATTTGTCCATCTCTCTCTCTCTCTCTGTGTGTGTGTGTGTGCTGGGTGTGTGCAGGGCTTCACGATTACTGGATCAGGAAGATGCTGTCAGCAATCGCGTCGGCTGCTGCAGGGACAATTGGTGCCGTCGCTGAGCCGAAGATGCGACTGAGCGGGAACCCAAAGGACCTTAATGACTTCGTCGAGGCGGTCGGCTGTTTTGTCACGGTGTTTGCTGCTGAAAAGGTCCGGCTGGAGGGCGAGCAGGAGGCCGCCAGACAACGATACAAGAACGTTGGCAACGAAATCAAGGTGACTGACGAGCAGAAAGCAGCGGCAAAGGACGAGCTACACGTATGTCCGATGCTCTACGTGTGTATGTGTGTGAATGAATCAGGCGGTCACGCCGTTTCTGCGACCTCTGAATGGCAGCGAATCGATTCGTTCCGTGGATGTCTGTGGAGAAAAGATCGCCACGACGCAATCGACCATCGACGAAATGAGCGACAAACTCAGAAATCGTTTTGACATGTAAGCACCAAACAGATACCCGCCGCATGACGGACCATGGCTGCTTCCCTGTGTGTGTAGGTGGTCGCGACCAGTGGAGGACGTCCAGGCCGACCACGTCAGCCGTATGGTCGACCACTACCGCCGCAAACGGCTCGGCGCGTCGCCGGCTGAGATGGCTGTGGTGCTCAAGATGGCCAGTGCTACTGAGCAGGCTGCGTTCGACATCAATGCGTTTATGTACGGCCTCACCGACGAGAGCCCCAAAGCCAGTAAAGCACATCAGACATTGTGAGTAGCACGATGCGGAAGCGCCGACACTCATGTGCTCATTCTCTGCATCGTTGGTCGTTCAGCGGTGGTCTCGGGCAAGTGCCATCCACACGGCAGCGACAGTAAGACCCCAACAACACAGTGCACTGGTGTCTTCACTCACTGTCTTGTCTGTCACTGCTCAGGTTTGACTTCGCGCAGATGTTGAATGGAGTGCAGTACAAGATCGTGCAGCAGGGCAGTGGAGCCAAACCGACAAGTAACCAGCGCGTCAAGTTCGACGTCATCGAGTGGCGTGACGGCTTCGACGGACAAGACAAGATAGGCGAGCACCGTGGGCCGGAGCATCTTGTGTCTAGCTGTGCTGGGTGGCTCCAGGAGGTCCTTACTGACATGCGTGTGGGTGAGGTGCGGCGACTTATCCTGCCGGCCACACTGAGCGGCTCTGGCGAAACCGTGTACATTGAGTATAGGCTCTTGGCCTCCCTGGTGTCCATTACGTCTTAAGGGGCGGAGGTGTGTGTGCGATCTCATCTCACCCACACTCGTCTTGGGAGACCACTGATACGAGTGTGGGTGAGATGAGATGCCAGCCAGACTGAGTGTCATTGGAAAAGATTTGTGTGAGTGAGACTGTGAGTGATGAACTCTTGCCATTTGGCTCGTTGTCGTTTGCTCGACTGGTCTGATGGAATTTGATTTGCTGCTCTGCATTGCGCTAGCTGGGTGTGCGTTCAATCTAGCTGATCTGTCGTGTGGTACAGTATCCAATTCTGCTTTGACCGACCGCTCAATTTGTAGTGGAATGCGTCTTGCGTTTAACACGTGTCGTCGACTTCGCTGAAACGCGTTACGCAATGCTATCTTCCCACCACTCACGTGATGCGATGAATTCGATCGGTTCGTGAAACCAAACAAAGACGGTTTGGCAGAGATCTGACACGAGGTATGTCAAATACATCCATCTTCAGCCCTCACCTCACGCGCTCATCCAGATCCCTGCGGGACACCCGGTTCAACAATATCATCGAGAGAGGCCATCGATTCGGCGTCCAATCATGCGGTGGCTTGCAGCCCTGCTACTGGAGGCGCTAGTCCTTGTGCGGCGGCCGCATCGTGTGTCTGGGGAAGCAGCTTCGGCTCCAGAGCGGCCAGAGGGCAGCCTGAGGGTCCTGCTCTCTTCCATCCCCTTCTCCCCTGTGCATCCCATCATCGAGCTCGCCAAAGAGCTGAGCAAACGAGGACACGATGTCCAGGTAAGTAGGGGGGAAGGACAAGTTGTCGTTTGCATGGTATGTGTCGTGTTTCACACATGGCAGGTGGCCAGCCTGTCGTCAGTGCAGGAGAAGGTTGAGAGGGCCGGCCTGGCCTTTGTCAACTTGGGCGAGGGAGCTAGTGAGGCTCAAGTCGCGGAGAAGGCGCGCGCGTCTGTGCATGGGGTGAGAGAGATCTGAGGAGGAGCTGAAGCAGGATCTGCTCTGCATGTGCACGCGCGTCGGGTTTTGTTTCGGCAGGCTTCGAGTTTGAAGGTATGGGGACCGGTCTTCGAAGAGATGTCGGCTCGTATGTCTGACAGCCTTGACAATCTCTTCGCGTCGTCAGCAGCAGCGTCAGCGTCGCTCCCTGATGTGTATGTGACGACGGTTCTGACTAGTCCGACGATGGAGGTCGCATCCAAGTACAGCATTCCTGTGATGGTCTCGCAGTGCGAGCTCGCCCTGGCTCCCAGGCACAACACGATGCCCTACAGGTGCGCCAAGATGGTCAGGCAGACTGAGAGGTGGGTCAGTCCTTTCTTATGTCTTTGTTTGCAGCGTGCCTGTCGGCTCTAGCGTGCCCTATGTCGGCGCGACGATCATGCAGCGGCTGAGGAAGCTCTGGGCGGCCTTCTCGTGGCACTTTATTGTCCCGGTGAGAGGCTACCCCCTCACAGTCATCCACCCAAAGTATGCGCACACACACACAGGCAGCCGTGGTTCCTCTCCTGCCGTCTGTCGTGTGTGTCGATTTGTCCACAGATATACAGATGGCGTTCTGAAGATGATCCACTCAGTCCCTGGCATCGACTACCCATTCCACGCGCAGCCCCTGATCCAATACACCGGTCCTCTGCTGCGCAACGACAGCACGCAGCTTTCTCGCCTCGAGCCCTCCCTGCTTGAGTGGCTCGACGCCTCCGACCTGCCAGTGGTGTACGTCAGCCTCGGCACGGTGTTCGGCATTGACGAGACCACCGGGCCGATCTTGTTCGAGGGGCTGGTCAACCAGTCAGAGTGGAGGGTCCTGTGGGCCCTCAAGGCAAGGGATTGGCGGTACCTTCCAAGCCATGAGGACAGCCCCAATCTGCGCATTCTGCCCTGGTACAGACGTAAGTCGACTGATGGGAAGGAGAAAAGGACAGCGAGGAAGGAGAGCAGGCTGTCATGGCGGCCTTTCCATCTGAATGTTGTGCAGGGTGCCGACCCCGGCGGCATTGAGCCACCCTCGCGTCAAGGCCTTCTTCAGCCATTGCGGCGCGAATGGTCTGCACGAGTCGCTGCACATCGGCAAGCCCATCATCGGCATGCCTTTCATCGGTGAGATGCGTGGGCACATGGACGTCCAATCCAACTGCTGTCATTAATCTCTGTGTCTGTCTGTCTGCGTGTGTATAGGCGACCAGCCTGACAACTGTCTGCGAGTACAGCGTGCCGGCGCTGCCGTCTGCCTGAATGTAGCCTCTCTCACCGCACAGGGCATCCAGCAGAGCATATCGGAGGTCATCAGCAACCTCTCTTATCGAGACACTGCCATGAAGCTGAGCCGCATCTCCCACACGTACGGAGGCGTCAAGCGAGCTGCCGGTTCGCGAGAGAGAGGGAAGAAGAAGAATGGAAGGCTGCGTTGACCCCGCTTGACCTTCTCTTCATTCTGCAGATTTGGTTGAGCTTGTGGCGTTCCTGAGGGGAGATACCCTTCAACTGCAGACTGTGGCTGACCGCGAAGGCTTCATCTCGGCCTTTGCGCTCGATTTCATTGCTGCCGGCTTTATGCTGGTGAGGTGATTTCCACGAGCTTGTCAGTGCATCTGATAGAATATAATGGTTTCTCTTCTCCCATCTCTGTGTCTCTCTCAGGCTTTTATCAGCGGCATTGCGTGCAGTGCGTGTTGCCGGATGGTCTGTGACCTGTTGTTGAGGCGCCGTGGACGCCGCCATGATGACACTGCGGAGAAGAAGCAGAAGAGAGCATAGTTTGCTCCCGTGGCGAGTGGTGACTGAAACGTGGCAAAGGAGCATTGGATTTGGGGTTTCAGTATCGGCCAGAGGGCGTTTTTATAGTGCCTGATGGATGTTTTGTGTTGACATCTGTTGTCATCTTGATGGATGCATGGATGGATGGATTTCTGGTGAGCGAATGGAAGAGTGGAAGAGTGCTTGATAAAAGTAGGTAGTCCGCGTACGCTACGCGAGAGGTCCATCCATTCATTCACTCGCACACATGACAGACAGACAGACGGACAATCATGACTGACACACCAGAGAGACGAGAGAGAGACTCTCTTCCACCAGTGTGCTGCGCAACAGCTGTCGTGAGTATTATCCCACTGATAGATAGAGCGGATGAACGAGAGAGCTAAAAAGGAGAGAGACCAAAGCAGCTAGCCTACCAGGACGGTCAGTCAGTCAGCACAACCCATTGGCAGCAGCAAGGCGATGCACCAAGGCCAATCGAGCAACCAATCAGTCAAATCAGCAGACAGAGATGCCACAATTGATCGAGACCCCCAGAGAGCAAAAAGAAAACGCGACCGACCGTCCCACCTTATCCATCCATCCCATCCTACAGTAGCAGAGCGTTACGGAGGCAAGAGAGAGCCCTCCAGAGCTCACCATGCGCAACGAGCAGTGCGAACACAGCGTGATCAGTACCACGCCGGAAAAACACCACACAACGCCTCCCTCTCCACTCCCTCCATAGCATCCGGTCAATCTTTCCCCATCCCACAGCGACACTACGTTCGGTCACACATCTCTCATCCATCCATCCCTCCACCGGTACATGCGACGACACAGACACAATTGCAGCCGGTCGGCTATGCTCATGCCATGGCGCACACACATGCAGATCATGGGGCGGGGACATGCAAGCGCGTACGTACGAATCAATGAATGGAAACACTTTCTTCTCCAGGCGCACTCTACGGGTACAGTGACGGACGAGAGGCAGACAGACAGGCAGGCAGGCACAGTCAGACAGTCTGTGCCACACGCGCACACACAGGCAATTGGATGGTAAGTGAGAAGGTGAGTGAGGCACACGGAAAATTCTTGACACAAGGATGATCCGTCGATCAAGGAGAAGACAGTTAAGTGAGTGTGCACATGTGGGTGCGTGGTGTGTATGGTGTCGATGTGAAAGTGAGATCAGAAGCCCCGCCAACACCCCTCCCCCCTCCCCCTCCCACCCTCCCTCCCTCCCTCTTGCCGCCTCTCGCCACGTCACATCCACACAATCCACACGCGACAGACACCTACGAGTAGATGGTACATGTACACAGCGACTGCTCGGCCACGCCACACGACAACGCCACCAGCCAAGAAAGGGAAGGCAAGGCAAGGCAACCAGCCAGGGACAGCTCTCAGGCAGGGGAGTCATCGTATCGTGCGTCTCTCACAGGCACACAATGAGCGGTTTAGATAGGCACACACAACACAACATGATGCGACATCAGATGACGGAAAAAAGAGCTCGAAAGGAGAGGGAATCCCCTGCCTGCACGAGCCCCCTTCACACCACTCCACGCCACGACACACATGGATGGTGCATGGATTGCAGTCACACCATGCCTTCCCTTCTCACGCCTGAGCAGTCGCTGAGGCCAGCTCAGCTGCCGACAGACGCAAAAAGACCGAGACGGTGCTACCACTGACAATACACACCACACGCACACACGCAGACACACAGGCAGACAGGCAGACAGGCAGACAGGCAGCCAGCAAGGCAGACAGACAGGCAGACAGGCAGCCAGCAAGGCAGACAGACATGGTAGGCAGGTATCCATTTACGTACAACGGGGGTGAGTCGACTCGTGTATATGCATGCATGTGTATAAAGATACATGGAAAACAAAAACCACAGTCATCATGGCTGACACACGGCGAATTGATAAAGAACCGGCCCTCGTCATCATGATGAGCGACGAATGAAAATAGAGTGGCAAATTACACTGTGACGGTACGGCGATCGATCGCTCCATTCCATCCACATGTATATGTATATATGTGTATGTACATGTACACATCCACCTATGTATGTAAGAATTTACGTATCGCAACTGTACATGTACACACCGCTCGTTCGTTCCTTCCATTCGCTCGTCCGTCTTGACTGATGTCAGCAGTAGGCAGTGCTTGAGAGTCAGTCAGTCAGTCAGTGGACAGTTAGATAAGTGAGTCGAGGGTGCAAACACGACCATAGATAAGGTAGGTAGGTAGGTAGGTAGCGGTCTGGTCAACGTTTGGAGCATCCGCCACCCGTCCATCACTCGCAGCTGACATACCACAAACACACACATGGACACGCACACGCCATCGATGCAGCCACCACAGCGATAAAGCAATAGGTACTTGGTACACATTTGCACTCAACCCACAAGCGAGCGATGAACGCGCAGCTTCACTCAAACAAACACAACACAACACAACGCGACACAGCACACCACAGAGCGGAACCCATGTGAGTGTGAGCGAGGAAACGCAACTACGGTGTGACGAATAATGACGCTACGATAAAGAAAGAAAGACAGCATGGCGGGCGTACGATAGAGAGATGGAATGCGACGTCTGGGTATGGTGTCAACGGGACAAAGCAACCGGCACACGTGTGGACGTGTGCCAACTGCCGGTCCCCCCCTGTCTGTCTACAGTAGCACCGGCAGCCCAACACATCCACACGCGGACAAACACACGTGATGACACAGATCCACCCACCACCACCAGTCAGTGTAGTGTTGCAGTGTGTTCGGTATGTATCTATGTCTTGTGCACAAGAGCCATGTACAGTCGACCCATCCCCTGATTCGTCATCCGATGATCCGATGATCCGATAAGACACGGAAAAAGCCTGTCTGCTGTGCTGTGCTGTGTGTGAGGGTGAGTGCGTGTGCTCCTTGTCCAGTGGTTTGGTCGGCTTGGTGGTAGGTCGGTCGGTACATCTACAGGCAGTGGACTAGACTAGACAGTAGACTACATCAGATCTGATCTGCCGGCAGCCCACCCGCCCCATCCATCCACCCCACACAACACAACAAATGGATACAAGACGGCTCACCTCACGAGCCGCCACGATCAGACAGACATCCATCCAGCCCAAGTCGCACACACACTCGACTCGCTACCCATTCATCCATCCAGCCCATCATTGCTCCTCCTCTGTCTCCTGGGCGGCGTCGCCACGCAGCCGTCGGCCGCCGCTCGTCGGTGTGCCCATGGGGGGGACCCGCTGACCACCCTGCGGCAGGGAGGTGATGCGGGCGTTGCGCATCCGGTCGAGTGACATGCGGTCGCCACCACGGATGCGGTTCAGCGCCGCCGTCATGTCCACCTGGAGCTCTCGAGGCTCCTCGTCGCCCATTCCATCAGCAGGGGCCTCGACAGCCGCTGGCTCACTCTCGGTCTCCTCGAGCTGCCGCGAGCCGCCTCCTCCTCCGCCACCCGCGGCCGCGCGCATAGCAGAAGCGGCGTTCTGCATTGCCTGCATCCGTGAGCTGCGAATCATGGAGGCGAGATCCTGGGCGCTGTAGGTCCCTGTGCCCGTGGAGGCGCCGCCCTGGCGGGTGCCGATGCGGATCTGGTCGGCGACGGGCGATGAGGGGAGGGCCGTGATGCGCTCGTTGCGGAGTCGGTCGATCCTCATGCGGCCGCGGTCGCCCATGCGGATGTTCTGGAGTGCCGTCTGCAGGTCCACAGGCCCGCCGCCACCGCCAAACAGCTCGCGCAACTCGTCCTCTGTGGGGTCGATCTCGTCGGCGTCATTCTCTGGCGCAACGGCTGCACGACACACACACACACACACACACACAGATGCGCATTCGCACCCTTCGTGGCCACCCCTCCCTACCCTTTGTGAGTGGTTGCTCACCTTCATTGAGCAGCCGTGGTGCCTCGTCGATGGCTGCCTCGGTGTCTTCGAGCTGGCGCGTGCCGCCGGCCATTCCCAGGTCAATCATGCCCGACGGGACGTCACCTCCCTGCTGTCGGGTGCCGCTGCTGATGGGTGAGCCGGGACGGGGCAGGGACGTGATGCGCTGGCGCTGGAGGCTCTGGAAGCTCATCCTGCCCCGCTCGCCCATGCGGATGGCGTCGAGTGCCGACTGGAGATCCACAGGGGCCAGTTCGCGAGTGTCGTCATCGTGTGCCTGTTGCTCGTTCTGTGTGGCCACCTCCTGCGCGAAGACTGAACAGACACACCACACACAGAGAGGGAGGGGGAGACGCTCCGTTGTGTCTCATTCTCCGCACGTCATGTGAGTGTCCCACACCCCCCCTCCCACGTGAGTGTACCTGAGGGGAAGAGCAGGAGGGCCAAGAGGGTCAGGACTATCAGTGTGGTCATGGCTCTATCGGTTGGTGCTTGTTTCTCGTCGTTTTCGGCTGTTCGCGTTTCTTCCTTTTCCGATCGTCGCAATTGCGAGCCCAAGTTGGGTGGGATTGAGGGGACAGCCGAAATCAGAGATCTGAGGCCTGGTGTTGTCTTGGTGGACCCTTCGTAAGTGCTGTGTGCTGCTCACTTCTCCTGCGGCGTTCTCGCTCTCTCGCTTTCTCTGGATCGCTTCCTTTTCTGGACCGAGAAGAAGGAACTGATTTCTGAAGGCCGGCGAGATGTGATGGTGAGCGTGATGCTAGTCTCACCTCGTCTGGGAGATCTTGACAACTTTTGACGGATTCTATCGTTGCGGCTCAGCTCGCAATGTGTTCTTGGCTTCTGCCGTCGCTGATCAGCCTTATTGCGGTGACACACGTCGCGGCTGGTGAGTTCTCCTTTCCTGTGGCGGTCTCGAGTGTGGCTCAGGCGGCGAAATCTTTCGACAGGGGCCTTCTCTGGTTCTACGCGTATGCCTACAAAGAAGGAGAACACCATGTACGAAAGATAAACGACCACAACACGCACCTGTGTGCCTGCTCATCGCTTGTGTTTGTTGGTGTGCAGTTTCGGTTGGCGGCTCATCATGACGCGAAGTGTGCCATGTGTTACTGGGGCATCGCCATCTGCCGCAAGCACGAGGCCATCGAAGCTGGACACCCACTCACGTCAGCGGCCCTCCCATACAGCAAGACGTCCGTGTCGTTGCTGCGGCGAAATGAGGCGGAAGAGGCCGGCGGCGAGAGAGAGATCAGCGATTTGGAGAAGCGGCTCATCGAGGAGCTTCATGAGTCGCTCACGCAGAAGACGCCAGGCGAGGGCCAGCAGTACCTCATTGCGGCTCTGCAAGACCTGCGGTCGCACCATGCTGACCAGCCGGCCGTTGAGGCAGAGATCGTGGCTTTGTTGACGGACGCCATGCTCTTCGCCGACGCCATCGACGCCTCCCTGTCGCACCGAGAGCAGGCCATCAGCATCTTGCGGGGTGCCATCCCCGAGTATCCCCACCATCCAGGAGCCTGGCACACGTACATCCATCTCACGGAGAGGAACACCACTGACGAGTTGGGATTGATGGCGGCGCAGCAGCTGCCGAGTTTCTCTGATGGGAGGATCGCTCATTTCGAGCACATGCCCACACACATCTCCTGGAGGCGGGGCATGTGGGACGAGGCGATCGACGCCAACTTGAGGGCCATCGCCACTGACCATGCCTACTTCTCGCAGAATGGCCAGGGCCTGTCCGCTCTCTACTACGAGTATCATTACCTCCGTGAAAGGGCCCACACATAGACAAAGAGGAGGGAATGCAATCAACGGCCATTTCTGCCTTTTGGTTCAGTCACATCACTTCCTGGCTGTGATCGGCATGCTCACCAACAACGCGTCCATGGCGCGGCACTACGCGCAGGAGGTCAAACAGAAGACGGACTTTGAGCGTATGGAGACCGTAAAGGACCTCGCCGACACCCATGCGACACTTGAGCATGTCGTCGAGGCGAGATTTGGCAATTGGGGCGGAGTGATGGCTCTCCCAGAGCCTGAGGACCTCTGGCCACAGGGCCAGCTGTTGGTCGCCTTCACAAGGTACGCCACACACACACACACACACACACACGTACGCACCGGGATGAGCATGCTCTGCACCGTCGGTCTGTCTCTTTCTGTCATTCAGGTCTCTCGCCGGCCTTGCCAACGGCAGGTCTCTTTCGACGCTTGTGCAAGGGGTGAGGGAGAAGACCAATACGACCGAAGCGACCATCTCACTGAGAAGGAAAGGCCCGGCCGTCGCATCTCCGCGCTGCAGGTCCTGGAAGCCATCCAGGCCACGACGGAATCACATGGACATCTACAGCGGCTAATGGTGACCTACCTGAGGGCCGCAGTGCTCGAGAGGGACGGTGCGAGCGTCACGGAGCTTGAAGCCCTGTTTGAGAAGGAGGAGACTGACCGGCTGGAGGCGCACTTTCATCCAAACAACGTAGGAATCTGACTGCGGGAGAGATGGTTGATCAGGTGCGTCATGTGTGCGCTTGCATGTGTGTGCATTGGTGCAGCCGCCTATGTGGTTGTTCCCTTCCAGTCTGTTTCTGATGGAAGCGGCGGCCAGGCAGGAGGCAACGGCCGCAGCAGCTCGACATAAGAGGGCCTTTCTACACACGTACCCCAAGTCAGCTCTCGCGGACCGTTCAGCCAGCTAGCGCCAGCTAGATGGCGAAATGGGGGAGCGAGGGAGGGAGGGAGGAAGGGATGCGACAGACAAATGGTTTCTATGTGTGTGGATACGTGCGAGCGCACACTGCATGTAGGTGAACGACTCAGTGAGGGATGATTAGACTGAGGGGAGATCAGACATATCGGTAGTCCCGCTTGCATGTGGGATACTAGCGCACAGCACACAGGTGGTGATGCGAGTGTTTTTCTAGTGATGAGACACTGCATGGGACTGAATACATCGTCTTCAATGACGTGATGTGGTTTCTGCCAGCCCATCTATCCATCCATACAGTTCGATTGAATCGAGCATTATGCCTTCCTCCCCGATGGTGTGTTTGATCTATCCCATATCTGTCAGGTGTGTGTTGGAAGTTCGACGGACTAGGCGCCAGGCTGCATGTCGACTCCACTGTTGAAACACCATGTGGAGCACCCTGGCTGCCCCATGGACCGCCGTTTCTGTGGGCAGCGTGACGTCGCAGGGGTGGGAGAAGCTTTCGGCGGGGGAGGCTGCAGCAGTGCCTGCCTTCCAGCGACTCTGAGCTGTCCAGAGACGGGTGGAAAGCGTCTTCAGTGAGGTAAAATGTAAGGAGGTGAGACGGGCCAAAAGACGGGCACTCGGGGTCACATTGCACATGCATGGTGAAGCTCAGGCATGCTCTGGCCACTCCGAGTACGTCTTCAAGCCGGTCTGTGTGTTGCATGCGAGACGGGGGGCCAGGACCCTCTAGAACCTGTGCACACACCACCGACACGGATACTGAGCATACAAGACAGACGCGTACACGCACCCCCACGACATATACCTGACACACCACCTCCCCTGGCCCGGGGGAGTATGCAAGCTGGGCGGCCCTGCGCCATCAGGGTGAAAACAAACTGGCCTTTTTACGAAACCCAGGGGTAGCCAAGGGAAACCTTGGTGTGCCGGACGTCCGCCCTGGTCCCTGCCTCGTTTTTGCAGGGCTGCTATATCGTTTCCATGGATGCATTTTAATGCGTTTCATAGGAGACGCGTATGTAGCTTGTCCTCTTGCCGCTGCTTTCTGATCGTCGGTCACCTTGATTTCGTTGCCGAGATTCTCATACCGTCGCTTGGCGGTGTCCCACTCGCCCTCCAGCCGGGCCTTCTCAGCGGCGAACGCCTTCACGAAGTCATTTAGCTCATTGGGGGTGCCAGTGGCCGACACCCGTGGGTTAGTGATGGCACCAGTGGTCCCTGCAGCAGCCGAGTCGATTGGCGACAGCATCTTCTTGATCCAGAAATCGTGAAGCCCTGTTGGCACACACCCAGCAGACAGACAGAGAGAGAGATGGACAAACGAGCAAGGAAACCTTTTCCTGTCACTTTGCCTCCTCACCAGTGAAGTTGCGTCTTCTGGCGTCTTCGAGCAGGTGGCTGATGGAGGCCTGATTGTTAGCCGGACGGTGGCGCTCCAGATGGTCTCCGCGTCCAATATGGCCCTGTGAATGAACTTAAACGCACCAGGATCGATATCGACGAAAATCTACCACACACACAAAGATACACGAACTCATGGCCACAAAGCTAATCAGCCCTCCCAGGCTCTTACAGGAGCTTCTTTGGTCGTCTTGCCATTGTCGTTGATCTTGATGAATCGGCTGTCCCAGCAGCCCGCGAAGAGTGCTGCCAGCAGCGTGCCCTCCACCCCTACTCCCTCCGTCATGTGCTTGCGCTTGACACTCATCTCAGCGCCGCCCACATTGAGAAGCAGAACATCATCAGGCGAAGAAGGTGACGGATCGGACGCACCATGCTTCTCCCTGGCTTCGTGGATGTCCTTCTCGGTCTTCTTTGTCAGGATTGCCAGCTTGGCAAGACGAACCACTGCGAGCTTGTGAGCTAGGGTAGATTGCTGTGTAACGGAGAGAGAGAGGTGAAGACAAGGAAAGACAAGGAAAGCATTCTGAGGAGACACGATCTTATCAGCCATCACCGAAGTGAGATCTGTGTTGACCACCCTTCATGATGCCATACATGGACAAAAACAACTTTGAACGACCAAGATCATCTCATGCAGATGGGTATTTGCCCTCAAGCC